GTTATGAAAAGATAAAAAGCAGAAGAGAACTGATACAGTTAAAATAGGGATATTGATTAATTGGTACCTTAACTAGTCATTTTATCGATTAGTTGACTAGTTACTAAACTATATACACTTTATTGGTAAATTGGAACTTCACCTAATTAGTATACACATTTTTTATTAATTAGTATTAGTATCTAATCAAATTAAGGCTGGTCAGCCTAAATGAATCAAATTTCATATTAGGTTTTCAAATCAACCGACTTTAAAGAAGAATTAAGATTCAATGGACCAGCACATGATAATTACAATCCAACATCTTTTCTATTAGAAACCCTGCACACCATCAAATATATTTTATATTACATATTTACACCTAATTAATATTTATTTGCAAAGATACTTAATCACTCCAACATATTTATGCATATACCAGATTTTATAGGTTTATTAATTACAATAATATGGGAAGTGGCTATCAGTTATGGATTAATTGGGATAACTAATCCCTCATATCAAAGAGTCTCCTTTTTAACTCCACTCCCCATGCCGATTACCAATCCAGAATCCCCTCTCGTTCTTCTCCCCAATCGCCACCTCAACACGACTAACTCAAACCACCACCGCTAACGACGACCCCACCATCACCTCCGTCGATGATTCTCTGCAACAAGCAGTTGGAAAAACATGTCGGAAAATTTCCCCTCCGTCAAGTTCACAAACATTTTGTTCGAAAAATACTCTTCCAACTCAAAGAGCCTGTTAAGTCCAAAAAGGCCCTCACTTTCTTCCACATGTCGGCCCAAGTATTGCGCGCTGAACATAAGATTTCAACACGCATCCTGGTGAAAACAGGATTGATCAGAGATGTCAAGACCATGTGTAGACATCGAAATTTTAATATTTTATTAATTAATATATTTATTTATTTTGGGACATAAATCCAAGATAAATATGATATTTAATTAATAAAGTAATTGTTTCTTGCCCACCAAGTCAAATCTTAGGATAAGGAAAAAGATTATATCAAATCTTAGGAGAAGGAAAGAGATTATGTCAAATCATGAAGGACCAATCAAACTGAAGTCTTCTTCTCCAAGACCTCTCTCTCCTACACCTATAAATAGGGCTCTCCTCAATGCCACAAATCACAGCTCAAACACCTAAAAAAATATCAAACACATATCAAAGATTAAAGTCTCAAATTCAAGAGCTCTCAAGAACCCTCTTGAAGATTTGAAGAAGTTCTTGAAGAACCGCCCGAAGTCCATTTAATGAAGAAGAAGGCCAAGAAGAAGAAAAAGAGGTGGCGACTCTTCCCCAGGAAGTAAAGAGACGACTTCCACTCCTCTCAAGTCAATCCAAGAATATCAACGACGTTCAATCGACATTCAAGCCTCGTTCGTTGAGAAGTTCAACCAACATAGCGTTTGATTCGAGAAAAAAAACTATCAAGCCCTCGAGTCAACGTTATTCAAGTCAAAGTCCCTCTTTCCAGAAGATCAAACAAATTCTCCAAGATTGTCTTCAATCAAGTCAAGGCCTAACATTTAATACACGGGAATAAGTCATTCGACCCCCAAATTAATGTTAGAGAAATTCAAGACCAAGTTCCAAAGGAGATTCATCGTCAAATCCATCTTTGAAGGCAATCCCAAATCCATGAAGAGAAGAATCAGAGGAGATAAATAGAGATTGTACCCACATATCGTTTGATCGAAATAAAATCAAGTTGTACAAAAAGTATTATGTTTTCCATAAAATTTGTTGTTACAAATTTGGCATGCCCAGTGGGACTTTCTCTACCTCTCATCTCTTCCCTCCAAATCAAGTTCGAAGATCTTTGAAGATGCATGAAGACTTCTTTGAAGAAAATGTACAAGGGGCAACGAAGGATGATGTCTTCTCAAGCCATGAGTCCGTCCATTGGGGGCAATTCACATTGAAAGCTCCATCAAATCCTCAAATTCAAATGGTTCTTGATATGAGCCTAAACTATCTACATATTCAAGGCTCCTTGATATGAGCTTAAACTATCTACATATGCTCCTTGATATGAGCTTAAACTATCTATATGGCTCATTGACACGAGCATAAAATGTCTACATATCAAGATCACCTTGACACGAGAATAAAAGGTCTATATATCAAACTTGAAGGCATCTTGATAAGAGCTTAAACTATCTAAATATTCAAATGCTCCTTGATACGAGTCTAAACTATCTACACATTCAAATGCTCCTTGATACGAGCTTAAACTATCTGCAATGCTCCTTGATATGAGCTTAAACTATCTACATATTCAAGGCTCCTTGATATGAGCTTAAACTATCTACATATGCTCCTTGATATGAGCCTAAACTATCTATATGGCTCCTTGACACGAGCATAAAGTGTCTTCATATCAAGATCTCCTTGACACGAGA